TTGAGGTGCTGAAACACTTGCTCTGTGAATGCAAGCACTCATGCTGGAGTGACCTGGTGATGTCAATTCTGGTGTGCAGCTGGTTGGGGTCCTGCACAGCGTGGGGCAGAGCTGATGAGTGGGCATTTCATTTTGGTTTTTCTTCTTATGTGTTGTCCTTGTGACTGAGGTTGTGTGATGCTCTCTCTAGAGGCATGTTGCCATGTTTTGGATTTAGGAGAAAAGCTGCATTAACAGCATACTGATGTTTTAGTTGCTGCTAAGGAGTATTTACAGTAAGTCAAGGACTTCTGGCTTCTCACAGTGTCCTGGGGGTGCACAGGGTGCTGGGAGGGGACAGAACCAGGACAGCTGACCCAGTCTGCCCAAAGGGATGTCCCAGACCTTATGGTGTCATGCTCAGCAATAAAACTGGGGAGGCTGCTGCTGCTCAAGGACTGACTGGGAATGGGTCAGTGGGTGGTGACTGCATTGTGCTCTCTGCCTTTATCCCATGGGCTTTATCCTGTTGTGATGGGGCAGTGAGCTGCGTGGTGCTGAGCTGCCTGCTGGGTTAAACCACAACACACGTTTCTCCTAACTGAGGTGAATTTGTACTACTACCCTGCCTTTTAAATCAATCAGCTGTGGCTGTATTATTCTGTGAATTGAGAAGCAGGATGTTGGTGCAGATTTTGTGACATCTTTGTGATTTTTCTAGATTGGTGTAGTGGAAAGTTAGCTGAGACTAGGCAGATGTTTGATGCTGTTGCTTGCTATTAACAGGCAGTTTGTCAGGCAATCTGTGCAGCTCACAGAAAGAAAATACTTTCCTATGGACACTTATTTACAATGGAATTTGCATTAAAATCACATTCACAAGGGCTTAATGTAAAGCAGATCTAGAGTTTCACCATTTAATAGGAGGAAAAGCTTTAAGCAGACTCTAGCTTTGGAAGGTGAGGGACAGCAGGCTGAAATATTTCAGGGTATTACAGGAAATGGGGCACTGCAGGGTAACAGCAGCTATTCAAGTGTGGGAATTACCTTAGTGTGAAGCAGGTAGCTCAGGAGAATACCTGACACCTCAGGTGGATGTGGTGTCTGCACCACCTTTGTGTTGGAATCCTGCCTGTCCCCATGGCTGAATGAGATTTGTTTAGAAGCTGAAGTGACTCATCTGAAGGTCAGAGAACACGGTCCCCTTGGGAATGGGAAGTTCAGTCCCTGCCCTGCAATGCAGAGGCTGCAGGTCTTTTCTGTAATTCAACGTTAGTTAAGCAGAGGGGAAAATTAATGGCTTGCCACAACCTTTGTACCAAGTGCACTGAAACAGGCTTTCAGTGTGAGGCAGTGGGGGCTGCTGGGCTAACCTGAGTGGGTCTTCCTCAGGATGGAGCTGTGTCAGGAGCAGCAAGCACATCTCTGGGTAGCTGAGGTGGTAGGTGGCAAGGTGGAAGTTAGGAGATGGTGAAATGGTGCTGAGAGAAGTGCTAATGCCGTTTGAGGGAGAGAAATCCCAGTCCCTGCAGAAGCCAAGGTCAGGCTGGACGGAGCTCTGAGCACTGATGGAGCTGTAGGTGTCCCTGTGCATTGCAGGGAGTTGGACCAAGTGACCTTTCAAGGTCCTTTCAACTCTAATTCTATGAAATACTCCTCATTTTGACCTGCACAGAAGAGTTCTGATGAGCTAATCTGGGAAGGCAAGGGAGTGGGAGAGGGAAGAAAGCTTTCTCCTTTGCAAAGTTTGCCTCAGCTGAGTGCCCTGCTGTGGGACAAGTTTTATGAATCTACAGATGCAGTGTCTGCAGGAGGAGGAGAGATCTCAGGGCTTTTGGAGAATGGTACTGATGCACCTGGAATCCTGAGTGGCTTTTGAAATTGAGTATTTCTCTATTTCCTAGCCCCATAAAGTAAGCCTTCTTCCTTCTGTCCTCTTGCATAAACTCTAGAGTGTGAATTTTTTTTTGCTTCTGAGTTCTTTTTGGCTATTGAGGTGGCACTCTGCAGTGTGCAGGGCAGCTCCTTGGTCCTGGATCCCTGAGCATCACTGAGAGGCCCTCTAAGTGTCTACATGACCCTGCTGGCAAAGCCTGGCAAATGTGAACTTGGAGTCATTTTACAGCTTGAAATGGCAGCACTGTGACTAGGAGGGCATTATTCTATGCAAGGATGAGTTCAATCTGCAGCACGGTGATTTCATCTGTGTAGACCTATCTGTGCCTGGGCTTACAACAGAAGTGCCTAATTGAAGTCTCTGCTCATTATTGGTTCAAGTGATTAACTGCAATTACCTGATCAGGATTTACTCGCTGCAAGCATGGTTTATACTCATGAGGAATGGTAAATTCAACTTCCTCACAAACTAAACCATGCCTGCTTCTTTCCACAGTGTGAGGGATCGAAAAGTTGCATTTACTTTGCAGGCAATTAATTATTGTGGCCTCATTTAGAAACGTTGTGTTGTTCTTAGATAAATCTGCACTCTATCTAGCTGCCTTTTTTTGCAGTGCAGTTTTTTCTTTAAACCAAAGTCAAAACTTAAATCCAAACGGAGTGCTTCTGTGCCAGCAGATTGGGCTGCAGCTGTGTCTGTGGGAGCAGGGCATGTCTTTGAGGTGCTAGGAGAGACTGAAATCCAGGACTGAACGCACCAGGCACCTCTGTCTGTGCTGGAAAGGCTGTCTGGCCCCAGGAATGGGGCTGCAGTGGAAATGAGACCATATTGCATAGCTGGTTCCCAGCAGCGCTTTGAGATTTCCTGCTTTCTCACCCCTACTTCCCCTTGCTACCAATTCCAGGTGTTTTTCCTTCAAAATGCACCGAAACAGATAACACAGGGATTTCTGCTCCCAGGTGCCTGTGCCCCATTAGCTGGCATTCTCCTGCCTGTGCCTCTGGCAGGTGGGTGTTCCCTGGCACATTTGCAGTCATGTGTTTCCCTGACATCCCTTCCTAGCCCAGGGGCTCGCTTCTGCTCCCCTCCTAAAGCTGAAGCAGCCATTTGTGCCACCCAGGTCCTTTCCTGCCCCTATATCCCATGTCTCTCGGCCAAAGCTGCCTTTTTGCCTGGAGCTGTTGGGAAATCCGAGGGATGGGTGGCTTTGCTTTCTTTTCCTTTTTTTGTCTGTGGATTTTGAATTCTGATTTGGTGAGAGCTGCTTTGGTTCTGCAGAGCCATGGGTTTAGGTCAGTCATTGAAGCTTGGATCTATTGTTAATGAAGAAGTCTGATTTATAATGCCTTTTCCCTCAAGCTAATGGACAAACGTTTGTTAAGGGGAAAAAAAGTTGCCTTTTTTTCTTGTATGTGAAAGAAAACGTATAGTGTAGGTAATAGAGAACTCCAAGGAAATTTCAGGCCAGATCTTAGCTACCATCTCAAATTGATGTTCCTTCGACGTTGCCATGACTGCGACAGAGTGACTCATCCTGTTATGGTGAGCAATTTGCTTGTCTTACAAAGTCACCGGGGAAATAATTTTCCCATATCTATATGTACCAAGGCTGCAAGGCTTGCTTTTGCAAACAAGACAAATAATATTTCCTGGTACTACAAGCAGCCGGCTGGAAAATGAGACCAATAGGTTCTATTCTTAGTTCTGTCATTAACCTTGGACATTTTCTTTAACTTCACTGGAGCTCTCCTTAGCTGTCTGTAAAGAGGAAAAAGTTATAAATACAGGAGTTGGTTTTAGAACATAATTAAAACTCTGACGTTTAAAGTCATCCAGAAGAGTAAAGTGTTGTTCAGTAATACTTCCAAAATGACTGAAGTCGCAGTGTGTACGTGTGGGTTGGCAGGTGTGAGAGATGGGGATGGTGATGCTCCCAAGAAATCTGTGTTTATATGTCAAAGCTGCGAGGTCTCTCATTCTGTGTCGACCTCTTTTTAAGTAGCACACATGGAATGATTCAGATGGGAAGCTGAGCTGTCACAGTGCTTACAGCATCTTGTATCTGAGGGGTGCATCCTGCAGTGCTTGCTCCTTGGGAGCAGTGTGTCTCTTTGGCTGAGATCTGGGGTTGCATTTGCTGCTGCCCATTAGTTTGGAGATGCTTTGTGATTTCTGTGGGCTTTCTGTTTTGTTTTCTGTTTTGCTTCTTGATGCCCTGCTGGGGATCTGACTTTGAATTGTTTGCCAGGGGGAGAATGTCTAATGATGACTCTGATGATTCTGAATGCATTTAAGTACCTCGTTTCTTATTTGGTAAAACATTTGTGTGGAGATCTTTCACAATAAACAACACATTTTTCAACTCATTGATTGATACTGCAATTATTAGTCTTCTACTGTACAAATGATTGGGAAATATTGATTATTGGTGTTGGAGACAAGGTTAGAAGCATTGCTTGGCTATGAGAACAGTGGTTTCTATCAGCAAAAGTCCTTCTTGGGGTGACTGAGAGAAAAGACTGTCAGCTCAAAGGGACCACGCAAATGTGATTTGAGGGGCTGGTGTGGAAATGTCCTGCTAAGTATTTTGCTCTGATTCTGTGTGGTTCAAGTGTGTGTTTGTTCCCTTAATGCAAGACATCTGAAACTGTTTACTGTGAGTTGACTAATTCCCACAGGGCAGGTGGAAGCAGCACTGCGTGGGGAATTGGAGCCTGAGCTGCTTACAGCAGGTGGAGGTGGACAGCAGGCACCAACAGAGTGACTTTGCTAGGGTACAGGCACGCTGCAGACAGGAAGCAGAGCTGGAAATGGAGTTTCCCCTAATTAATTGGATTCTTTTTTCCTTCTGTTCCCAGTGTAAGTTAAATAATGGCTGCTTTGTTTTGTTTTTATTATTTTTTTTTCCCTAGGTAAAACAAGACAGAAATGATGAAATGATAAAATGATCAGACACCAGGCGTTACAACCGGGAAAGAAGTAACGGTTACAAAACTGCATCTCCTTATTGTTCAACCAGAGAGAACGTTTTACAAAACTTAGAAGTGTCCATTTAATTGCATTGTTTTGAGTATATTCTGCCTGAATGTTTGTTTCTTTTCTTCCTCTTGTCTCCCATTGCTAGGTTGTGACCAGACTTATTCACTTGCTGGGCGAGAAGATCCTTGGCAGCCTTCAGCAGGGAGGTAAGAGTCATTGCTGGGCTCTTCCCATCCATTCTGGTGCTTCCTTGGAACTGGAACTACATCATTAAATTCAGAAAGAGAAAGTAACTACTTGACAAGAGAACTTGTCCCTAAATATTTCTGCTATTGGTTGTCACAAGTGAATGTTTAATTTGTCATATGTAAGTACACCATTTTTTTGGTGGAGAGACGTGGCTGTGTCAGGATAGGAGTGGATGGAAAACTACTGCTGTGTACATGCAGTGATATTTCCATGAAATCTCTTGCTAAAGAACAGCTCCAAGGGATCATTAGAAATAACTGCCACGATAGACCTGAATCTGATAGTCATGCTGAGTGGCATCTGCGTACTGACTGACTTAGCATGTCTGTATTTGCATTATCTTAATGAATTGTCTGAGAGCAAATGGTTCATTATGCATTGGTTGGTAAGTTTTATGTATGTGGCAGAGGCAAACCAAAGTGTATTTACTAATTGAAGTGATTAGGAGGAAGTTTCCCATAGTTGGTTGTTCTTGTGCAGCTTTTAGCAGAAAACAAATGCGTGTTAACCACTGATTGTGTTGTGGAATTCTTTACTGTTGTGGTTTTTTGATTGTTTTAATAGAAAAGTTCTCTACTGTTTCTTTATTTCTTTAATATTTAGATATTCCAAGGTGACTGGAATTGAAGCTGTCACCTTGCAGGTTTCGAAGCCATTTTGGGGAATGAATTTCCAAATCCATTCTTCCAGTGCTTTGTATGCACCATCAGTTTTGTGTATATCTCTAGCAGTAATTGTTCTTAATCTCTTGTGCATGCTGAAATGCCTTTGTGACCTAGGGCAGAGTTTGCACTGCGTGGGAAATGGGACAATATGTGCTCTGGAGAAGATGGAAGGAAAATTAGTGGTAGGCAATAATAGGAGCAGGATCAGAGAACAGCCATTGAAGTTCTGAGGAGAGAAGGACCGATGGAGATGAAAGAGTGGAGCAGTGATATGTAACTTGTTTGAACCTACAAATACCTTCTTGAAGATCACCTAAAAGGGAGAAAAACTATTTAATGTTCTGTGGAGAGCTATTTTAGAAGACTTGAATATCTCCAGTACTGAATATATTTGAAAAAAAGGTTTATCTGGCATTTCTTTGTGTCCTACAGTGTACTATTGATCTTGCATATGCACTTTAAATGAGTTTTCATATCAATTACAGAATATCACGTGCTTCCATATGTCCATCTCGAGAATGGCACGTGGTGGAGCTTTGCAGGGTAAAATAAGATGAGCCAGTTGCTAAATCTTAACTTAGATAACACTGATTTTATTGTATGCTTACAGTTGAGTTGGCAGGTGCTAGCAGCAAAGTCAGATTGTCTGAGAGGGGTTATGGAGGAAATAAATGGTATAAAACTGAAAAGAACTGTTTGTAGAACACACCTATCATTCTTTTCCTGAGCTAAACTATCTGGGAAGATCTTTGTTACGTGCATCAAATACTTCTGCCAAAAAATGCTTTTCTCTGCCCGTAGCCCCTCTGTGCTGCTCAGTCTATTGCAATATATTGGAGATGCTTCCAGAGTTGCTTTGCATCTGTTTTAGAGGTTCCATGTTTTATTTTAATATTCATGCACACCTGTCTGTAAAGATTCACATTTTCCCATCTTGGAAAGGAGTGAAAATAGATGTAGATACACATTTCCTACAGAAACTTTGTTGAAAATGTGTATTTATTTCCTTGATCAGAAATACCATAAGAAGTGGGTATTTATTTTGGATATATTTGGATACTGATAACAAACCTGGGCTTTTGCTATTTGACATAATTCCCCTTGAGAGGCAGGTTGATGTCTCAGTGTTGTGGCTGTGTGTGGTGCTTCAGAGTGCAGTTTGGTCTTTTTCTTAACAGGTCAAGTAAAGGCACATTGCATTTTACCTGGTCCTATCACTCAGATACCTTTAAATTTGCTCAGCTTTTACCCACATCCTGTGTCATCTGCTGATAATGACAGAAATCCTTTTTTTTTTTTCCTCCTGCTGTGCACGAATGCAGAGTCTTTCCTTTTGTGTGAAATGGAGGATGTTGTGTTTAAGTTGGGTGAAGCCATTCAGTGATAGTTCCCTTACTGCCTCGGGATGACAAATGATGTGACTTTCTTGTTTCTGTTTGTTGTTTTGTTTTTTTCTTTTCCAACAGGCCATCCTTTTGGATTGCACAGCTCAAGCAGCAAGTGGGATGCTGGAAATCCTGCCAGCAATCTCTCCACAATAGCAATTATGCCGGTGTCTGAAGAGGTGCCACTTACTGCTTTCACTCTGGAGCTCAAGCATGCTCTCAATGCTGTGGGTAAGAAGTGTTTATGTGTTACTGCATCATGGGGAATAAATGCCTCTTATTTTTCAGAGAAGTATAGCCAGGTACCTGTCAATCAGCAGGTGGATTCATGCTTCATTTGGAGGGCAACTCACGTAGCAATGCTCCAGATGACATCTTCCGAATATCTTTCTTCTTCTGACTCGCTCTCCTTCTTTCCTTATCATGTTTTCCTAACATATAGTGGAAAATGCTGTGGCCTCGATTACTCAGAAAGATTCTAATCTGTGTGACCTGTTGCACTCCTAAGACTGCAGGTACGTCAGTGATGGGTGCCCACACCGTACTGCTCCCACAGGGCCTGTTTGAGAGTTCAGTTTTTTTTTCTCTCTTAACTGTGAGCCTCTTCCAGACTGTTTTAGTTGTACAGCTTGATCCCACAAAGGATTTCTCTTACAATTTTCTGTTGTTAGCTAGGTAGTAAGTGGCAAACATAAGACTGGATTCAGAAGGCTTGCACAGGAGATCCATCCAGGATGGCATTGGAATTCTGAACAGTCCTAAATCATGCCTTCCTACTCTGGCTTACTTTATCCTGTTTGTTGCCAGCTTGTCTGTCTTGTGCTCACAAAACCATGTATTCAGTTCACAACTGATTCATTAATTGCTGTATGCATTGGTGAAGTTGGTTGCACAAGTTCCAGTTGCTCACAAAGCCATGTACCTAATTCACAGTTCAGATCATGCTCCACTATAGTTTGATATTTTCTGAACATCCTTTTTTCATCCTTATATGCTATCATAGATCTCGAGTAAATCTCCTGCAGTTCTTTGAATTGAAGCTCTGCTGTCTCAGAGCACTTTGAAAAGTACAGGTTACGTGATGCTTGATCTATAACCACTTAGATTTATTTTAATGATTATTTTTGTTGGTCTTAATTAAGGGTATCTGGCACTTAGGGGAGTTGGCTCTTAGTATTCTGTTTTAAAACCTTCTAGACAAGCAGGAAAAGGAAAATGTGGTTGGTGTTTGAGCTCCTTCACCTTTAGAGACATAATTTCGTATGCGTTGTTGTGTCACAGTGAGCACTAATTTGTGGGTGTTTGAAGATTCCTTTTATTTTGGGGAGGCAAAAAAAAAGTTATAACAAAACAAAGATTTCAGCCATAGCTATATTGCTAATGGGTACTTAGAATGGATTGTTGCCAGCTTGTTTTGATGGGCGACAGCACCGGGAGCCTGTAAATAAAGCAAACCAAGATTAAGTATTTAAAGGACTATTCGGAATAAAAATAACCCTTCTAGTTGAAAGCAACTGGAACGTAACAAACGGGGGGTTTTGTTTTGATCACTCGGCCTTTTCTTGTGCACCCTTCATTTTTATTTTCTGCATCTAAACTGACGTCTGTGTAGTACTTGGCAGCTATAGATAGTATACAACCTTGGCATCTCAAGTTCTTGCCAAGATGGAGCAGACGGCTGCAGTGGGAAGAGGAAAGTGTTGTGTGAAAACACAGCTAGCCATATGGTCCCAAACACAGCTGGTAGACCAAGCTCTCTAGCCTTGATAGCCCCTCTTCGTCGGGTCAGCCTGGTGTTTGCTCAGCCCGCAGCTCTTTGAAACAGTGGTTAACCTTCTGCCAATGGTTGGTTGTGTGTCTGTATGCTGTATAGCTCTGAGGGTCTTTTTTTTTTTTAATGCAGGCTGTATTCTATTATTTTTATTTTTTAGCAGTGTTTTCTCTTATTTTCCTAATGCTTTTGTGCTTTCTGCTGAGGCTGTAAGTTGTGTGAATGTTCTGTACTGATGCACGACAAAATGGTCTGAACAAGCTAAGTCAGTGCTGTGAAGCAAAATTTCAGTTTACTTTTGGGTTTTCTTAATTATGCTCCTTATCAGTTAGAACTCTGTCCATTTTACACTTGAGGAACTCAGACACACTGTGTGGAGAGATCTGGATTAGGTCCTTAGTGATCAACTATTGTATTGGAACTCATCTTTGTGAGTGCTTACCTGCTTCTGACTTTCAAATTGGTGAATTGGCACTAGGGTCTTAGCTGTGAGCTGTGATTAGATGTTAAACTTAATAATGAAATGAGAGGTGTTATTGAATGTGCTTGAGAAGACTTAACTGAAGATCTTTCTCTTTGGAATGTCAGTTTGAGTGAATATGTTCCTAATTCTGGAAATTAGAAGTTCCCCTGTGTATACTTGCTGCTTTTCATCAGCACTTGTTGCTTATTCTTTTGTTTTCTCTTGGAAGGAACTTGTTGGTAAGCTGTAAACTGAGATATTTAAAGTTTGATTCTTCTTGTTTCATTGGTTTGGCTTTGAAATATGTTCCAGAGCAAATATAGACCAGTCTTGGTGTGTAGGGACTTGTGTGGGGTTAAAGCAGCTGATTTTCAGTTTCCTACTGCAACTTAATATATTTTTATAACATTCCTTAGTCTTCCCACAATATTAATTTAGATGGATATTGTAGTGATGTCCTTGCTGCAGGTTGGAGAAAAGAGAACAGAAATTAGAATAAATGCAGTAATTCTGAAATGACTGCCAGAACCATAATGAGCTATCATTGCAGGAGGTGGTAACTTCTGGGGGAAGTCTGCAGGCTGACCTTCATCCTGGGTGAGTTGTCTGCCTGTAGGTTGGGTTGGAACTAAACCTACAAAATGATCAGGGGATGCTTTTCTTTCCTTGGGACTGGCATTAGAAGGCTGCTTCCAGTGCATTTTTATTTTGGTTTATGACTACTTTCATCTTATTAGAGGAGTCTGATAGTAATAACAAAGAGAGTATCTCAGTCTGGGAGAATCAATGTTAGTAACAGCATGATTAATTTATACTGTCCACAAGAATGGAAAAATTAAGTAGAAATTAATTCACCAATAATAAGGCTTATTGCATTATTCACAAATAATAGGGTTTATAGGTTTGTTAATTGAATCTATTATGTGGATTTAATATTTAAATTTGTAGTGGAACCAAGTGATGTCCTGTCCAGGCTGGGCTCTGTTGGTTTTTTGACTTTAGGCATTCCTTTATTTTTGTATTATTTTGAAGCAGACAGTAAAATAAGCTTATCCCTTTGGTTGGTGTCTGTGTTCTTCCTGCTGACCCCATCAACTGGCAAAACAGGAGTGAAGCAGTTACCTGGTGCCTGATGGCAGTAAGTCAGTGTGAACCCGTCTTCATCTTGAGAAAATTATGATGGTAAAACATGATCATAATATATCATAGAATGGCTTAGATTAGAAGGGACCTTAAAGATCATTGAGCTCCAACCCCTGCTGTGGGCAAGGAATGATCTGAGCACTGAGAAGAGGGCAGAGGAGTCCTGCAGAGCGTGGCAAACCAGGGGCTGCTCACTGCTTCCTCGCTGTTTGCTTTCATGCTGCCCTTCCTCTGAACCTTAGTCTCTGCGTTTCCAGAGAAAGAGAATGCAGAATATAAAACCTGCAGAGAACCGGGATAGAATTTTCCACTTCAGAACTAGAGTGAATTAAAAGTGAGCAAGTTCTTTGTTTTGTCTTTTTGCTGCGCAGTTGCAGGTTGGATCAGCCATGCCAATGAATTCTGGTCAGTGTCCTTCGGTTTTCTTTGACTTTTTTTTCCCTAAATTCTTGCAGAGCAGAGAGCAGCTCTTGTCAAAAAAGCTTTTCTAGAACACTGAGGTTTGAAAAAATGGATTTGCCTAGCTATTTCTCATTTCTAACTGAGAGCAGTTATGTGGTGCCACATAACTGATGTGCAAATGGCTGTGCAAATTCTGGCTTTTTGTGGAAGCCCCTCTAATCATATGGAAATTTCAGACTGAGTAGAGAGGAAGGTTTCAAATCCAGCATACACTTCTCTTCTCTTGCTTATAGCCCTTAACTAAGCTTGCTTTCAGTTCCTAATTATGTATAATGCATTGTAAATCTCACTGAAATACCTTTACTAATAATTTACTGGACTTTTTAATGCATTATTCTACCAGAATGTCCCTTCTTTATGCACAAATTAGATTTAAAGGTTAAGAATCTAATGTGTTGAGATGAATGTGGTGCCTGGAACCAGCACAGGATGGTACTCTTTGCTGGGCAAAGTCTTCTGACACTGAGACATCAACCTCCTTTTTCAAGTCTTTATCTTTGGCACACAACTTTGTAGACTTTTCTTTAGGCGCAGTAGAAGTTCTGATTTGATGAAGTCCAGGCAAGTAAGTTTGCTGTGATTGAACTTTAGTGCGTGTGGTTCTTGGCTGTGTCTTTCTGTCCCTGTGTTTTTATCCAGGTTGAGGTGGATTTGCAATCATCCATAAGCATCAGCGATCACTTCCTTCATATGTTTCCTTATTTCAGTACTTCATATTTGATCCAACTGAGGTGTGTGATTTCAGGATTATATTAGATATAGAACTAGGGCATCTGATTGCCACTCCTTCATATCTTGGGAAGTGCTGCTATATGGAAAACATTACAAAAGTGAGTACCATGTTTATCTTTAGAAAAAAGGGAAAAGGTTTGCATCTCTTACATAATGCTTGTCTTCTTACTGGGCCACAGCATGAGACTGGGAGCCTCGCTGAAGTGCTACCTCAGGCCTGCCTTATTCTTAAAAGATGCAGTGAGCCAGACCTCTGATATTTGCCAGTGCTTTGTTCTTCTCACTTCTCTTTCACAGACTTGTAGTTCTGTCCTGAAAACAGATGACTTTGGAGTACCAATTTAGATGCTCTGTGAGGTTTCTCGGTGAATCATGATCATCTGTGCCTGGGGGTGAGACTGCTGCCATGCTGTGTTTTCTCACCTGAAGCACAGAAGAGCCAGGATTCAGACTCCCAGTGAATGCTGAAAGATAAGTCTCTGGGGAATCTTTAAAAGTTACCACCTCTGGCTTGGAAATTCATGAACTGCAAATTGCTGGAGGCTTGGAGAATGGCATTAAGCTTTCCCTGCTCTATAATACTCATGCCCAGCAATCTGTTGTTGGTCACAGTCAGACAGTAGTGGGCTCAATAAATATTGAACATTACCTCATATCACCTTTCCTGTGCTCTTACCTTTGAGCTCTTAACCCTATGTATAATGCTTCTGAAAGAGAAGACAGTGGAGGATGGAGGGGTGTTGCTGTTCCACCAGGAGCAGCCATAAGGTGCCTGGGGGCTGCTGTAGGTGTGGAGAGAGCATCACATTATCACCTGGTGACGTGCATTGGCAATGCTGTAACACATTGACTGGGACATTCCTGCCTACCAGCAAGGCTGTGTGAAGGGTGTATACTTGAGAAGCATTTTCATTACTTGGTTATTCTCAGCACTTTAGTCTAAATAACACTTGGTCATACTGTTTTATGTGCTTGAGAACACATATGTTGGTGTTCTTGATCACGTTGATGGAGGGTTATTTAATGGTTGACTAATTGGGAGCTTGCTAGAAATTGGAAGTGTAGAGCAGATGGTTGCTGCTTCTGAAGCAAAACAGAGCTGTTTGGGTTGGAAGCACCGCTGAGTCCTAGTGCTAGTTGTGATTGATGGTCTGTGTGCCCTTGTCCTCCAGGGGCAGGCAATGGGGAGGCTCCTGCAGTGTGTCCATACTCATGTGTTGGGTTATGGGCTGAGTGCAGGCAGCCCGTCCCAAATGCAACAGGAAGGCGCCTGATGTGATTTCTGACGAAATGCTCGTCCTCGAGGCTCTGTGGATGTGTTGCCTCCACTTGAGCAGTGTCTGTGGGTGAGGTAACCATCACCTTATTAATGTAAAGCTGCATCCCAGCCCTACAAAGCCTTACTTTGTGCCGTGAATCAGAGGCGTTTGGGGCTGCATCACTGTGTTTAATGTGTCCTCTTGGGGCAGGTGCTCTGCTGCATCAGATTGGTGTGGTGGGCTCTGAGCTCCTCTGCTGCTCTGAGATCCCAGCAGGCAGGCACAGGGGGTTCACAGCAGATGTGATACGGAGCTCTCACTGCTCTCCTTATCATCAGTCTCTTATTGGACATCTTTACTGCATTCCTCAGCTCATTTTACATTCCTGTTAGTCTTTGCCTGCTAAACTTTCACCACCATCATAAAACTTTTTAGGTTGCATGTGTTGGAAGAATAACTGGTCTACATATCACTTCTGTTTTGCTGAGAGCTTTGACACATTAATGAGCACAAATGACAACTCAGGTGTTGGATGCTTTTTCAAAACTTGCCTGCCCTTTCTCCCTTACAGTGGGGAAATGAAATTCAACTCCAGTCCTTCCAGCTTCTGTGCCTTCCTATTGGCCTTCGCTTCCTATGTCTGTGGTCTTCACTTGTGGTGTGTTCTTATGGATTTTAACAAAAAAGAGCAAATGTTATTTGGATGTTTGGAAATAAAAGATTAAAAATCCAAAATGGAGATTTTTTTGGTCAGGTCTGGCAGTAAGCTGTGCTTAAACAGAGTGAAGCCTGGCAGGAAGGAGCTGAGCATTATGAGAGATGCAGGTTGATGCTGAAGGTCGGGGTGGACAGCTGTAGATACTGTGCTTGTGCTTTTTCTTTCTGAGCATCTAAGTGGGGAATTCTGATACTTTACCATCTTGTTCACTCCTGTTTTCTTGATTTTTACTAAATACATTATGCCATGTACTTGCCTTGAGGGGCTACACATGATTAAGTGCTGTGTTTTTTCATATTTGATTTTCTGTTCTTTTATTAGTAGAAAGGATTACATTAGGAGAACACTCACCAAATGAATGGAAAGCGTGAATTTCTCAATATGAGAAATGTGAGGTTAATCCTTTGTTTTTCTCAGGTTTGCTTTTTTTTTTTTGTATTTAGCTGCAACTATTTTGCAGCTTCCACCAATGAAATAGAATCACTAATAAAGAAAAAAATAGATGAAAGTGCCTGAAGAAGCTGATCTTCTTTGTGTACTGAAATTCATCTCAGACATACTGCTGTTGCCAGATGTGCATATGTTTTGCTGTAGTAGAAGTAGTGTGGATCAGGCTCAGCCCTATGGATATGGATTTCTTTTCAGAAAAAGACTAAAGGGTTGGGAGTATGGCATATTGAATAGGAAGTACTACTAGAGAGCTTTAATTTTCATCTGAGGAGCTGCTTTACCAAGGGTGAACAAATGTATGTATTTCAGTATGCCAGTGAGTCAGCTTCGTTCTTTGCAACCAGATTCCTGAGGTTTTCTATGGTTTGGAAAGGTATGTGATACCCCAAATATTGTGTTTGTGGTGTCAAAATACAGCTGAAGTAGAAGCCCTCATTCTTATGGCATTGAAGAACGCAGTAAAAGAGCTTGGAGGTCGGGGCCAATGCATGAATACAGCAGGAGGGAATGTGGGAAATGGAAGATGTTATTGTAGTTTAGTGTGAAAATCTTCATGCCAACTCTTCTGTGGCAACTCTCAATGCACTTATCCATCGTGATCGTTAAAGAAAAAAGCTGCATTTGTTATAGAGACATAGCTATATTTTCCCTACACAGTTTGTCAGGAGCTGAATGGCAGACATTCATATATGAACCTCTCTGTTCTTTCAGGTCCTGCCTTGCTGCTCACAAGTGATAACATCAAACAGCGGCTGGGTTCTGCTGCGCTGGATAGGTGCGTGCAGCTGTGTGATGTGTGGGAAAAGGCAGGAGGGTTCCATGCAAATATACAGTGTTTGGGAACTAAACCTCCTATTTTAACATACACTATACCTTTCTGATCAAGGTGTTTGAGACAATTAGATGTTTCAAGAGCATTTGGTTCAAATGTTTTTCCCCATAGTTACTTTCTCACCTGTGCAATCAGACAAACTGAGTTAGCCTAAGGGTGATGACACACTGGAACAGGTTGCCCAAGGAGGCTGTGATGCCCCATCCCTGCAGGCATTCAGGGCCAGGCTGGATGTGGCTCTGGGCAGCCTGGTCTGCTGGTTGGTGACCCTGCACATAGCAGGGGGTTGGAATTGGATGATCATTGTGGGCCTTTTCAACCCAGGCCATTCTATGATTCTACGTCATGGAAGCCTTACTGAAGCACTCCTCTTTTCTCTAAGTGCATATTGAATGGTATAAATGATGAAAAAATCAACATGCACGAGCCTGGAAATGAAGGCAGGGAGGGAATGTTGGGAAACAGACTGAGCAAGCAAGGGATGCAAGGTTCTGATGCTCTTCAGATGCTGTGCTTGATGTGCAGGACTTTACTTTGGCAGGAGCTGTGGTATGAAAGAAGTTTGCTTTCTCTGTCCCCAGCATCCATGAGTACCGACTGACGAGCTGGTTGGGCCAGCAGGAGGACATCCACCGCATCGTCCTGTACCAGGCAGACAGCACCCTTACTCCATGGACTCAACGCTGCATCAGGCAGGCTGACTGCATCTTGATAGTAGGGCTGGGAGACCAGGAGCCCACTGTTGGAGAGGTGTGGAACAGCTTCTTTCCATGTTTGCAGTGTTAGCAGTCAAGAGTGAAAAAAATGTTGTTTCACACAAGTGGGGATTTGATACCCAGTGAAGCATAAATAATGGATTTTTTGGGAATATTTCATTATAAGTAGAGGAATTAAATGAGAATTTTCTGAAATGACAAGCTTTATATAAAAGTATTCCTGGCAGAGTTCCAAAGAATCATTTTGGTCAATGGTAAATCAAAGCCAAATCACATTTAAGCAATATGGTATTCATGTTTCTGTCCAGAATTTCTCTGCAGGATCTCCAGATAAGTAGATAAAATCTTTGGTACATTTAATGGTTTATGTGTAGGGAAAGCTATATGTGAATTGTGTTGTATTTCATTACAGACTATAAGCCGTTTTTTTTTTTTCCCTACAACCTGTTCTTATCCTTAATATATTATTGCTAAAGTTTGTTGATCAGGCACAAATTCTACAGGAACTGGGGGGAAAAAATAGGGCTATTAAGATTGTGAAGTGCTGAGTCTGACCTCCAAAAGCCTGGGACTGTTCCCATCTGCAGCGTTCTTTTGTGTCTGGTGTTGGTTCTTTGTCAGCATGGGGGAGGCAGGAAGCACAGTAATGGGAACTCACCATCAGATGTCTGAAACAAAAAGGAAGAAGGGCAAGGAGAAAAAAGTGTCTGATTGGATATTAAAAAAAAAAAAACCCATACTGAAAGCTTTCAGGCTCAGGTATGACTTGAGAAGCAACCTCATTCTGTGTGAACAGTGTGCACCTGTGCTGTGCTTTTAATGGCATGTGTTCTAGATAAAAATCACTGTTTTACATTCAGATTTAAATCCTTGTCCAATTTTAAAGTTCTCTTTGCCACATCAGCCCACAGCTATCAGCGTGCTTGGCTAAATCCATCTTGTTTGAGGTTCTCAGTGTGCATAGCAATCTGCACATTCAGATTAGGTGTCAGGCATGTGTTTGCACATATATGTATTCCAAAATAGAACATCTCATTAAGTTAATAATGGAGCAGTATGTTCCTGATACCTCCATTCCTTTGGTGTAAATAATTTCCTGTAGCTGGAGAGGATGCTGGAGAACACAGCGGTCCGAGCCCAGAAGCAGCTGATTCTGCTCCATAAGGAGGATGGACCTCTCCCTTCCCGAACTGTGGAATGGCTCAATATGAGGAGCTGGTGTTCTGCACATCTTCATATCCACTGCCCACGAAGAGTGTTTTCCAAAAGAAGCTTGCCAAAGCTGGTGAGATACCTGACTTGGTGGTTGGGCTGCAGTACTTGTAATCCGTGTTTCAAACGTTATCTGACATGGTGTTGTTACAGGATGTTCTTATTTGCAGCTGAGTGTTACATTGCTGCTGTTCTCTTAAATCTATCTGGCTTTTCATGTTAATCAGTACTTTTAAATCTTTGATCAAGAAAGAGAAATATCTTTACAGAAAATACTGCACTACTGTGAAATTCTTCCATCTTAAGCAAAATTATGGGAGATGCAGTTGATTACTAGGCCTGTTTGAATAGTTCATAGCCCCCCTCCCCTTTTTTTTTGGTATGTTGTTAACATGGGCTATAAGACATTCATGTTTCATGCTTTTAGGACAATCATTGTATTCTTCCCTTCTGCAGATAGAGATGTATGAACGTGTGTTCCAGAAGCCATCAGACCGCCACTCAGACTTCTCTCGCCTGGCTCGTGTTCTGACTGGAAATGCCATTGCCCTGGTCCTTGGTGGTGGGGGAGCCAGGTAGGTCCCACAATGTTCTCTGGTGTCTGCTGCCAAAGGTCCCACCCTGCTGCTGTGTGTCCTGTGGCATGTCCTGGGCACATGGATGCACTGCTGTAGAGTCCTAGAGCACCATTGTTGCGGAGCTGTGATTAGATCAGAATAACAGGCATCCTATAAAATCTGCACTGTTCTGTAGATAACTTTCTGGAGAGAGGCTGAGGAGATGCTTTTCTTATGCAAACATAACTGGGTGGATTTTTGTTTGGATTTCTGTGGATTTTGTGGATTTCTGTGAGGCCCCATCTGCAGTACTGCGTTCAGCTCTGCAGCCCCCAGTACAAGAAAGACAGGGAGCTGTTGGAGAGGGTGCAGAGGAGCCACAAAGATGATCAGAGGGCTGCAGCACCTCCCCTATGAAGACAGGCTGAGGAAGCTGGGCTTGTTCAGCATGGAGAAGAGAAGGCTGCGGGGTGAGCTCATTGCAACCTAAAGGGAGCCTACAAACAGGAGGGGAATCAACTCTTGGAAAGGGGAGATAACAGCAGGACGAGGGGAAATGGTTTGAAGTTGAGGGAGGGAAGATTGAGGTTGGATGTCAGGGGGAAGTTCTTGACAGAGAGAGTGGTGAGGTGCTGGAACAGCTGCCCAGAGAGGCTGTGGATGCCCCGTCCATCCCTGGAGGTGTTCAAGGCCAGGTTGGATGGGGCCCTGGGCAGCCTGGGCTGCTATGAAATGTGGAGGTTGGTGGCCCTGCATGTGGCAGGGGGTTGGAGATTCGTGATCCTTGAGGTCCCTTCCAACCCTGGCCATTCTGTGAACACAAATAGGAATGTGAGTGTTTGGTACTGTTTGTTATGAGCCTTCTCATACGCTGGCCTTAATGTCAGGAAATGATGAGCGTAAATGTGACTCTTCTTTCTTACGTTGGCCTACCTATGGGTTTTTCCCAATGGATTCTTGCATTACAGTGTGGCTGACAAGATTTCCAAGGCCCTCAAGCTTTTCAAAGTTTAGACAGCCAGAGGAATTAAATTCTCTGATGAATGTTCTCTTCTTTAAAATGACATGATACCCCAGGTGCCTGTATGCTTCTCACAACCCTGCCTCCCAGAAAGTGTCTCTGCAGATACAAGGCTAGGGCATGTGCTGAACACTCCTATTAGGATTCCAGTTGAGTTACAAGCAAGCTTTGGAAATGCACTATTACCAATGCTTTTCTTTGGAATTCCTTTCAACTTCAAAACTTTTCTGTTGAAAAAGATGTAGAATTCAGTATTCAAGAGGGCACCAACTTTGTTATCTTCATCAACATGTTCTTGCCTTTCTTTAAAACAGTGCTTTGAAATACCACTCTCAAATATAAGTATGAACGTATAGGTTACATATTGTCTGTTGATTCAGATTCATGGAGATACCACATTTTTGTTTTGGGACCACCATGTGCTTTGGGGAGGGAATATTCCCTGTAAGTAAAGGTTAGAACTCCTTTGTGACAGCTTGTTCTGATTAGTCACTCGATGGTGAGACAGCCAGTGCTTTGCTTTGGCTGTTTCTTCGAGTGTCTGTAAAGAAGCCTTTATCCTGGTTGCTTTCTCAGTTTCTTCACCTAAGATGATTTCAGTATTTCATTTCTGAGATAAACACTATCCTGTGGAGGCAGAAAATAAAGCAGAGGAAGGGAGCTTGTATTTAATCTGTGTATCTCAGGAGATTTCTTATCAACTGATATAAAGCACTTGGTTTCTTGTGGGTTTTTTTGGTTGTGTTGCTTTGTTTTGTTACTAGCTAGCTGAGATCTGTCTTTACTGAAGCCTATGCTGTGCTAAAATACATGTACTTGTATATTTCTGGCAGCACGTTTTGCTTATTCCCTTCCTTTCTTCCTTCTGTAAATACTGCTGTAGTTTTTGCCAAACTAATTTGTTTTGTTCTACTGCTTAATTTGCAAGCTACCACCTGCTGGTTTTCAAGAGCAGAGGTAAGAAAGACGGGCTTGTTAGAGCCTGTTTGTTGGTCCTGTGTTGTTGTCTTCCACAAATCTGAAGCCCTGCACAGCTGCTGTGTTCAGCTTTTCTGGATGCAGTCACCCATTCAACAATGTGCTCGTGTCTCATCAGCCATTAATTTGTCCATCTCTGCAGTATGGAAGACTTTAAGAGGATAAAATGGCAGATAGTGGGTGATGATACTTCCTTCTTTCTCTAAAATCCTCTTTTACATTTCATGGCCCAAAAAGCTTTTTCTGAGAGCTCATAGAGCTCATGCTGGTGGCACATGGATGGTGGGAGCATTGTGTTTTTCAACAGAAAGGTACTTGCATGCTATTTCTGTAGCTAGATTGTCATCAAAATTGTGATTGGATGAAAGATTGTGATTTTTTTTTTTTTTTGTTTAATTTGTTTTCCAAGTGAGAGCACAGTCCAGACTCTTGGGAAAGGATGGAGTTATTCTGAGCTCTGTACAAATCTGCCTTTGAAAGCTTTGCAGGCCAAAGTTCTTAGATCCCCTTCTCTACTGACAAGAAAGCTGCAAGAGATTGTGCATTGGGTACTGGAAACCATCCTGTGCTTAAGGCCTGTTGAGTGGCCAGCATGATGAGTGCCTGCCAGACTGTTGCTATTCAGTGTGGCCTTTGGGTCGCACTCCACGTGAAGTAACCTCTTACTCTGCTCTGGAAACATGGGTCAGACTGGGCTCGGAAACAGCACAGGGCTCTGGCTGATCCTGTGAGGGGTGCTGTGCCCTGTGGCTCCAGTAATATCAATTATTTAGTTGTTATTTCTGAAATGTTTGTCTGTATCCCAGTGATAGTCAGTTCGGGAGGTTTTACCAAAGCAGCTTCCTAGTCATTATCTTTGGTTTGTCATGACAAAAGGCGCGTAGGAACTGAGGGTTTTCTTTCTCTTGTGAAGTTAAAAATATAACAAATCAAAGTGATACAGTTCTGAAATTACAGTGTTTTGCTATAGTCAAGTGCTAACTTAATTTCAGTTAGAATCGCCGAGGAGTTTGGGGGAAGGAAAAGAGATTTGAGTGTAGAAAAATAATACCTTTGAAATGCAGTTGGGAGAATAATGACACAGCAAACCCTGCAATAAAGGCACGAACCTCCCATACGTCATTGTCGTGAACTTCAGCCATCCCACACACAGCCCACCCTTCCTTTGGCTTTCCACAGTTGTCTTAGCAGAGCTGTTGGAAAACTGAAATTTACGGGCAGTAAATACTTGGAGAAGTATCTGAGAGTCCCCGGGGCTGTGGAGAAAAACAATTGGTCGTGATGTTGCAGAAGGCTGGCTGACACTACACTGTGATGACAAGCCTTGTTGTTGATTATAATGTCATTCTTGTAGGAGTTAATTTGCTCCAATGCGCCAATCCTGCGTAGACACATTAGGAAAATACAAAGCATTCGACGCATTTGTTTGGGTATTTTGATGAGTGCTGTACGATACAAACACACCATGTGCATCAGAGATGCTGCAAGACTTTCTTGCCTTTTCTGGGTGCTGTGCCTGAAGTGATGAGCTGCACGCTCGTGCTGGGGGCTGCTGCCTTCCCCTACCTGCACACATGCAGCCCATGTCCTGCTGCTCTCCCAGCTCCACGGTGCTCTGCTTCTCCATTCCTCCCAGCCCTTTCCTTCAGGTAGGGAATGGCAGCCTCTCCCAAGAGCTGCTGCTCTGCTGCTCAAGGTGTTTCTAGGTATTTATTTCATCAAGGCATCTCTACTCTTTTCCCCACTCAGTTTTCTCCCCAGCACAAGAAAGATGCAGAGCTCTTGGATGGGTCCAGAGGAGGCCACTGAAATGATCAGAGGGCTGGAGCAGCTCTCCTATGAGGAAAGGGTGAGGGAACTGGGCTTGTTTAGCTTGGAGAAGAGGAGGCTCTGGGAGACCTCATTGTGGCCTTCAGTACTTGAAGGGAGTGTATAAACAGGAGGGGAAATGGCTGTTTGTGAGGGTAGATAGTGATAGGACAGGTGGGAATGGTCTTAAACTGAGACAGGGGAGGTTTAGATTGGATATTAGGAGGAAGTTTTTCAGCCAGAGGGTGGTGAGGCACTGGAACAGGTTGCCCAAGGAGGCTGTGGATGCCCCATCCCTGCAGGCATTCAAGGCCAGGCTGGATGTGGCTCTGGGCAGCCTGGGCTGCTGGTTGGTGACCTGCACACAGCAGGGGGTTGGAACTGGATGAGCATTGTGGTCCTTTTTAATCCAGGCCATTCTATGGTTGTATTATGTGATTCTATGATTTTGCCTCTGTTCTTGAGAAGGTAGATTTCCCCTCCCCCCCACTGCTTGCTCTCGCTGACTCTTAGGGTTTGACTA